AACAGATGATTTGCCAACCTTAGAATGTGCGAAATAGGAAATATACATGGTTGTCACAATGTGATTTTACTTACTGATTGATCACCAACGACAACAATATGAGGAAGAGAAATTTTCTCATAATGTAATGTTTCTCTCATATCATCGACAACTTTGAGAAGACGACGAGATTCAGGAGTGTTTAATTCGTTGTTGAGCATGTTCAGGTCAATATTATGTGATTATTTTACAGTAGACACTCGTCGTTTTTATATACTCAAAAAGTGAGTACACTATAGAATACGTCAGTATGTCCGTCCGTCTGTCCAGCCGTCCATCCGCCCGTTTACACGATAACTCTTCAAAGGGTAGACCAATTGTAATGAAATTTTGCATACAGAATCGTCTCATCAATATCTCGATCAAATTCGAAGATGAGAATGATTCGTCAAGAAATTGCTGAGTTATCGCAAAAATGTCATTACTTCCAATGCTGTTCTACGTGAACATTGACCTATCCCAGTTTTCGTAAAAAAATTGTTTCTCTCATAATCAAACAAACTCTAAGCTATTATATACCATTCGATAGAGAATTTCACGGGCTACAAAATAGTATATAAAATATTAAGAAACAAGAAGGCTAAGTCATCTATTGCAAAGATACTTAAACAGAAATTGCTTCTGTGTTTTTACTTTTTGAAGTACACATAACACTCGGATTTAAATCCGAGGTTTCCGCATTTATTTATTAACTAACCACAAAATATTCTAATTGATTTTGTAGATTGTTTTTGTTTGAATTATTCTCACCTCCTACTGTCTTTTGATTTTAATTCTAATTTTCACTAGCATATCTAAGTAGCTATCGATTGTATGCTATTGGTTAATGAAGCTCATAAAATATTTGGAACTGTATGAGCCACATGATGATTATTCTCTGCAAATATATCAAAAAGTGACTAAAAGTACGGAGTTATACTACAGCCACTACAAGTTCTGAAGCTTTGATGCCATAAGAACGTACGTCTCCGAAACCAGTTTTTGAGCGGGGAGAGGCTTAACGGAGTACGATGGAGACAACACACTAGGTACCAAAATCCAGTCAGAAAATAATACTATGTGTTTTCGCTTCACTTGTTGCACTGGTTTCATTGGTGGGCTTCTTTCAATTTATGCGTTGGCTTCGTTTACTAAATGTTATCATTTTTTACCTATGAGATTAAAGTCTTTTGGAAAGATGGATTGAAGAATATTTGGTGGTGAGACACCTTTCCATAATATTTTCACAGGTGCAAAAGAATGATATTGGAAGTATCTCTTAGTGTTAAATACTATGTGATAAACGCTTTTTGTTGGCTATTTTGGAAGAGCAAATGAGGCCAATAAACTAGTGTAAGTTGTATATGATAGGGCTTATTATTCTATGCTTGTTTACAATGTAGATATCATCATTGATAGAGTCATACTTCCGTCTTTTGTTAATTTAAAAATTTGTCTTGAAAATAAGACCAAAACTCACAAGTGCAGTTGAAATTGTAACAATGTGTGATTTACTCATACACACCTTCGCGAAAATACTGTCATGCCATCTCCTTAAAAACATATCAAACAAAAGCTATACTTATCAACTGTTGGTGGACATGTGAGATCATTAAACTAGAAAATTTTAAACCGGAAAAAAATGGATTTTTACTTGTAAGATATTAATATAAGAGAACAGACGTGTAAGTTTCCGTTAACAGAAAAGCTGTAGAATTATCACAGGGATCTCCATGGCAGCGAGTGATGATTATTAATTGAAAGGAACTTTTTCGCTCTCTTCAAATGTGATCAAGATAAAATAGTCATCGGCTTGGCTAGACCGTTCACCTTTGCGCTCAGAAGAAGTCTTTCTAAGTGCTGGACAAACGTAATTGATTAGGAATACAGTTTTTTTGAATGTCACATACAGTTCGAATAATCAAGATGCTCGTTTACATGATACACTTTTCTGTATAGTATCGTAAGGTTCCATCCTACACATGCATTTTGCTATAGAATGTGAACCATATTGGTGGATGTTAAGGATAATCATGTTCAAGAAATCTTTTCTATATTAATAATATATCGTTTTATTTTTTTTGTGATTGGTAAACAGTTCGACCGCTTAAGACGTCAATTTTTTCAGGGTACTACGCTCTGCTATGGTAGCTTTGAATCGTTTTTAATACTCTTAGACGTACATGCGAATCATGGCGTATCTTTGTTTTCCATCAACCATCATTTTTACAAGTTTTACTCTATCGTTTATATACAGATATGATCTTCTCCATATCACAGAATTTTTCCCGCTTAAAACGCAATTACCCAGTAGTAAAATATATACTTTATATTCAACGTGAAACATATCATATTATAACAGAAAGATGAAAATAAGTAATACTCATATAGTTTTTTTTGTGCAACTCACATATATTTTCGAAGAAAATAGTGAGTGTAAGTTTTAAGTTCACGTGTCGTGGCTTCCTTCCCCTTCATTACAGACACGTAGCAACGCACGCCCCCATTAGACACACTACGCTATTACAGACAGCTCCGCAATACAGACCTTAGCGATTAGATTTAAACTTTTTGGGTATTCTAGTTTATGAGAAATATGTGAGTTCCACATTTCATCTTTAAAGGGGCTGCGCTAATAAGCTTTTTATTTTTGTCAGTACAAATTTTTAATTTTCATTAAAATCAACAAACGAAATATTTTTCTTTCTGTCATTTTTTACTGCGACATCATGCTTTGTTTACTCAATAAACAGAGACAGATACCATCATGCAAAGCTGGCACCTTTTCATCATGGTAGAGAAATGATGGTGTCATTCAAGAGAGAATCGAAAAATACAGAAAGACAACATGCGTAAATCAAAGTTGCTGTGTCTTTATGAAAAGAAAGGAGCTGGAAAGGTAAAAACGTGAACTGAAAAGGAGGCAAACGTAAGAAGCGAGACTTTTTATTATTGACACGCCCACATTTCTGTCGCCCTTTTTGTTTCGCTAAAAACAACGATTTCGTCTTGATCTTTCCAACCATGAAACAGAGAGAACTGGAACCATCGCTTTTGAAAACTATCGGTCAAGTTTTCAAGAAGTTAATCTATTAGTTAAGAAAAAGAAATAACTTCTCGATCAACTATCCATACTCACTTGTTTGTTTAAAAAAATATATGAATATTTAATCGAAAAATAGATCGACCTATTTCTTAAAGAAAAGACAAGTGCAATCTATTAGTCTCAACTCTTGCTTTTCAATAATTGACTTCTTGTCAAAGGAGAATTGGCAGATTCTCAGGATTTCGAATTCGTGGAAGTCCCCAGAATCCTGTAGGAATTCTAAGAATGCGTGATGTAGATATGTGAAAAACACTGAAAGTATAACTACTGGTCATACATTATAAATGTCATTTGATTTGTTTAATGTTTTAAAACCCATTCCACAAAGAGAACAGTGTAAAATTATGGAAAATAGGTCATATTTGAAAGTGGAATATCTAAGATCCTTCACAGTGTACACACTGAAGATCAAAGACTAATCAGTTTCGTGGTAGTCTGGATGAACGTAGGAAAATGTTTGGCTGTGGCTGTAAGTGAGAGTGAGAATACGGTGAAGATGTAATCTACATCCACATCCCATCAGCATGTTTTCTGTATATCTGGTTCCTTCATTGAATGTCTCATATATACAGGTTCTCTGTCCCAATTTATTGGAGTATGAGTCTGGATCTGGGTGAGTATCGATGTGAATGAAAAAATGACACTTACTCACTCAAACACACACACCCACACCATTGGCCATTTTTATTCTTTCTCTTGGAGAATGTGAATATCAAGGGTCTTCAGTATCACAATGGAGAAAAGCCAGATGATGTCGAAGTCTACTTACGCTCAAAATAAGCGTTCAACGTTTGATGATTACTTTGATTTGATCAATCGTCGAGTGTACTTTGTATGAATCGCTGAATAGTTTTCGCTGATTTTTTTCAATCAACGCTTTTTTGCAAGTGTTGACCTTTTTCGCGATGTTTATTTTCAATTTTCTTCTGTATAGCTGACTTCACAAAGTGAGCAACTGTAGGTTTTGCTACCAAATGGAATTAAATAAGGGTCCGAAAGAACGAAAAGTAGAAAAAATAATAACAATAGTCATGAGTGAGATTATTTTAAAAAATTATCAGGACTCTTTCAACTTTTCTGACTGATAAATTAAATAAATTCGTCATATTATGTTGTTCTCTAACGATCTAGTGAAGTTTGTATCAGTGGATATGGATACTTTTCAATAGATTTAATTTGTTGTCGTGTGAGTGTGAGTATAGGTGTAGGCCTTCTTTTCAACCACACCCATACGCACACCCATATTCTCCCACATACACATCCACCCAAACATCCACATACTTTTGATCTTGCAAGGCGAAAAACCAACAAGCGCTAAAGTACCTTCTACAAAGCTATGAAGAAGTTAAGTTAAAAATAACGCACGAAGATGACAAAACATCCTATGTTCAATCGTCGATAGCGTGAAAAATCATAATAACATCAAAATAATTTTTACTATTTTGTTTTATTCTGTTAATGGTCGAACACATACACTTATGCTGCCATGAGGCCTTCTCATATGAGTTACGAATGAGTATAATAAAATACAGCCCAATATTTACCCAGTTTTGTGTGTTTTCTACGTAGTTAAATAAAACGAAAAAAGAGGCAAAGCATTTAAATATGTCTGTAGAAAAAGAACGCTGAATGTTAGTCGATGTATTTAATTTATGCACCGTTATATACAGCAGTTTCTTTTGTTCTGTAAACAACATTGTTTTAGCGTTTTCCGATCAGAGATAAGTTCGAATATTCTCAACATTACATAGAAACTTTTCTTTTGAGAACTATTTAACGAGTCTACTAGTTTTTGAATATCCGAAGTATCTTGTTTTGGTAGGATGTGGATGTTGGTGTGACTGTGAAATAGGGGAGGGAAGTTACCGTTACTACCTAGTTACGTTACCAGGTAACTAGTAACTCCAAAGTTACTAGTTACCGAGTAACTAGTAACGCCAAAGTTACTAGTTACTTGGTAACTAGTAACTTTGGCGTTACTAGTTACCAAGTAACGGTAACGCTTTATAGACCCTTACCTGGTGACGTAATATTCGAACATCTTAAGGTATTCGAATATTACGTCGCCAGATAAGGGTCCATAAAACGTTACCGTTACTTGGTAACTAGTAACGCCAAAGTTACTAGTTACTCGGTAACTGGTAACTTCGGCGTTACTAGTTACTTGGTAACTAGTAACTTCGGCGTTACTAGTTACTTGGTAACTAGTAACTTTGGAGTTACTAGTTACTTGGCAACGTAACGGTAACTTCCCTCCCCTACTGTGAAATACTGATGTCCATATGGATATTTTTTATCAAAGCACAGCCACACCCTATAATGAGTCAAGATCGAAATATGTATATTTCACCTTATCCACCATACGAATGTTACCAATCTTATCTGACTCAACAATCTTAGAAGTGGTAGCTATGGTCAACATGAGATGTCATGTTAACATCCTCTTGTGTTGTCACGCCCATGATTTGTCAAAGATTCGTTCTATTTTTATAATTACAATTCTTTTATACAATTATTAATAGATTCCGAAAATACAGATGTATTTTCAGTTTGTAAGATTTTAAAAACCGATATTATTTTTTGATGACATAACATTTTCTAATTATGTTGCTTTTTATTTTTATCTCGATTTCGAGAAATAAAAATAAAATCGCTGCTGCACTTTCTACATAGTATTGATTTATTTTCATGATTTATGTAGTTATCTTACAGACATATAAGAAAAAAAACGCAGGCTTCATGTCGAGTGGCGATAACACTAACGAACGACTTAAACTTAGTTCTTCATATCAAGGTAGTAATTTTGTTTTTATAAATAAAATGATATACATTTGAAATTTTTGCTTCTAATTGCCACAATACATTGAAGTAAATACTAAGATTTTTTTATCAAATCTTATTTTATAATATAAAGTTGACTACGACTATCTAGAAACTCTTTTTATTTAATCGAACTTTAGGTTTATTTATTGCATATTCTACGAAGTTACATTGTGTTATTAACATAAGGCTAAGCAATTCTTGTTCACTGTTTTACGTCAATTGCATTTATCTTAAATCAAACAAAAGAAGGTTGAAGATCACCATTGAATATTCAATGAAAAACAAACTGTTCTTATATTGCCTTCTGGAATTTCTGAATATGAAAAACTATTTTATCTGTGCTACTTCTGTTTTGTCTTTCTTGCTAGTATGTTTAGTTTTCTGTTTAAACTATCTTACTAACCACTAATTACACTTGATGTATCTTAATTAAAACTTTAACTTAATGGTAGCGCGTCAAATAATCAATCATTAAGATTTTATATATCGACTTTATAGATGGCATTTTGTCAAAACGTGGCGTTGTAAAACTCTTCTACTATTTATCCTTTTCATATATTCTTGAAAGAAACAAAGAACAAACAAGAAATGAAAAGGAAATGCACATACGAGAAAGACAGACATGTAATTCACAGATTATTATCAATCACAATTATAAGATTGTCGGAAATTTCCTATTAATTGACACAGTTTTTTTCTTTTTGCTTTTCGTTGAAACTGATTTACTTTCAAAACTATATGCTTTAAAGGAGCCCGTCATGTTGACCGAGTCCGGCATAGACCAAAACAAGTTATACTCTTCAAATAACAGTACATTATGATTCATTATTATAAGATCATCGTCAAGATTGTTTGAAAAATGTACATATTATGTTACTAGCAAAATACAAATAGTCGTTAAAAAGTATCTCGCATCCTCGAAGTAACTTGAAGACTCATACTAAACATTTTCTTGAAATTAAGAGCACGTCTAAATATTTTGTAGCAACAGGCGTTATTCCTCAATATATGTGCACAAAAATTGCAAACCCACAAAGAAGTCGATATATAAACAAGATCAGTTTATAATTGTATTTAATAGCTTAAACTAATCTAAATGAAACGGAGCTAAGATTAAAATCTGGAAAAAAGATTTGTTATCTTATGTTTAATGGAAGAAGCAATGAGATGAAAATAAAAATCTTATCTAAATGCTTTGCTAATTGATATGATTAATTCCTTTGGTTTTATTATGATTGAAACTTTTTCTTTCTATAAAGATAGTGAACAAGGTGAAGGCCAATAGAGAGATTTTACTGGTCTTGAAAGCAAAGAAATTCGTCGTGGATTTATTCGAAAGGTTTGTGCTGATCGAAATCTACAAAAAAAGCTGATTTTAATGATTTTATATAAAATAGGTTTATTCAATTCTTATGATTCAATTAGCGATTACATTTGGTCTTATCGCAATATTTCATTTTATGTATGTTTTTTTTTCCTAATAAAAAGATATCGAAGGTCAACCGATGATATACAACATAGACTATCGATTCATGATTACGTGCGAAGTTCGAATGGTCCATGGCTTTATTGGATATCATATATTGTTTTTTTGGTTATTTATTGTGTATTGATTTGTTCACAACGTGCCGCACGAAGGTTTCCACTTAATCTTATTTTACTCGACATTTTGGTAAAAATAGAAAATTAAATTAATTGAAAACTAAAATTTTGCATTTTAGACATTATCAATGAGTTATATGGTATGATTCGATTTAAAAATTATTTACTTATTAATTTTTTTTTGTTTTTGTAAAAACTTTAGATGGGTATGATTTCAGCATATTACAAAATTGAATCAGTATTAATCGCTGTTGGTATAACAGTATTCGTTTGTTTGGGTATTACATTATTTTCCTTTCAAACAAAATATGATTTTACATCATGTTTTGGAGTTTTACTTGTGATTTCATTGATATTTTTAGCTTTTGGAATCGTTTGCATTTTTACTTATTCAAGAGTAAGTATTTTAACAAAATAAAAAGTTTATGTTACGTTTTATCCTAAAAATATTTACTTTTTTTCAGATATTGTACACAATTTATGCTGGCCTGGGAGCTCTGGTTTTTTCAATCGTAAGTTTTAATAATTAAGAAGTTTTAAAAAAGTTATTTTCTATTATTAGTTCTTGGCTGTTGATACACGATTACTTATCGGTGGAAAACAACATGAAATAAGTGCTGAAGATCATGTTTTTGCATCATTGATGCTTTATATTGATGTTCTTTATATATTTATATATATTCTTAGTTTGTTGGGCAATTGGAAATAAAATTACTTTTTTTAATAAAATGTTAACACGTATTGTATAACAATTATCGTGCATAGTTCGCTTTCATTTCTTCGTTGCCTATATCCTCTTTATTATTTGCTTCTATTCATCTATTGAAACTTCAACTCTAGGCTTTATAAGATTTCATGTATCAATGGCTCTATATTTGTGTTTAATTATATTTGGAAAGAAAAATAAATTTGTATTTGTGTGGTGATGTCATGTCATTATAAATTAGACAACAAAGATAAAGAAAAAACACTTTAATTCAAGTTCAATGAAAGTGTGACGCAATTGAATCGCTCCCTCTTCTCTTTTACCAATTGTGCTTAGTTCTTGCAGTTGTTTCTTTTTCAATAATGAATATATGACGCCAAAGTACACACTTAAGAGACACTTTTCTAGATCATGTCAAGAATCATGTCATACAAAAACACTATCATCTATCTTTTTGATTATCGCACATGAAAGGGCTTGTAAAAAAGCCTATAAAGTCAAAACTCTAGAATTCTCTGATTGATATTTGAATATATACGAAAGAAATATTCCTTTTTAAATATGAGGCAATCATCTACATCCACACAAATTCCAAGTGCAACATCTGGTAAATGTTGTTTGCTTTGCAGGCACGGCATGTGGTGCCGATGACATGCAAAAGGCCTATGCCGAAAGTAAGATGACTATTTTAGCAATATATTTTCTGACGTTCCAATAACGTTTCTATCTTAACATGAGGATTTGTGAAAAAAAGTATCAATTCAACAGTTTAGGTTAGGTAAGAACAAGAACAACTACTCGTAAATAAAATCAGTGCTTCGATCGATTTCAGATGATCTTTGTCTTTGAAAGTCGAGATACGAAATACTAGGTAGAGGATAAAAAAAAAGATTGTATTTGATAACAAATTCTGAATATGATGATAAAAAACTT